AACTGGTAAAGTAACAACACCGTTTTGGTTGTCAGTAACTTACTTTAATAACCATGTTGTGGGAACGCACAGGCATATCAATGCGCACATGCACCACACTTGGTGTTCTCTACTTTACACAGAAAGTAGTACCACGAAACTATAAACTGATTTTACTAAATACATAACACCTTTTTTTGTGGAAAAAATGTATGAGACAAATTTTGATTCAAAACAGAGCATGTCTGGAAGGGGGGGCAGAGAGGGACCGATGTCATAAATAAATGATTCTTTGTTCATTGATTAAACTGCTCTCAGCTGACTGGAAATTAGATGTTTCTGGGAAATATTTTTTACACGTTAATCATTCAGCTTCCAACTCTCTGTGAACCTAAACATTCAATTCAATTTCACAGCTTGAATAACAGTTTTTTTTATCATTCGTATTGCAAAAAATAAAACGTAAAACACTGCTGCTAGTATTCGTCCTTGCCCAGCATACGTTTGAGAATCGTGCTTTAAGATGAAGCTTTAGCAGCTCAAGGTCAGAGGCAACACTTACTGATTTGCACCACCTACAATACGAGGAAAGAGGAGGCAGACTGAGGAAGGTAGAGGAGAAAGACAATAATGTCTAACATGAAATAAGAGGCTAACTCAGAAAAAAAAATATTCAGACATATCTGACAGATTTATGAAGCTTTTTTGGGACTTTCATGCAAAGGCTGTGGCAGCTGACGGCAGGCTTCTCAGCTCAAGGTCCTGCCATGTGATTTAAAAAATAAGCCTCATCGCTCAAACCCATTCCAGAATGATGAATCGTGATGTGACTGGGCTGGATTTCATTCCTCAGCTCTTATCATGGTTAATTAATTACCACGAGGAATTAAAGTGACAATCATCAGAAAACAAACGATTTTAATGGCATAATGTGGAAAAGAAAATTCGGGGAGTAGATTAAACTGGCAGATAGTCAGACATTTTTAAAATCTCTGTGTTTAAACCACTCATTTGGAAGAAGAAATGCGCTTCAGTGCACTGTAAATGCTTTTGTATGCACAACAACATTTCGGTTCGATATGTCTTCCTTCTGACGTACTTATTACTCTGCCAAGCAATGTTTTCGCTGCTGTTTGTCTGTTTCTCTTGAAAATTGATTGGTAGCGCTCAAGCCTTCTACAGCAGACCCCTCGCTGGTCAGCTAAGTTTTGGCACATTTTACTTCTTACTGCTTCATTCTCTGTACCATATTGCTTCATTCATTACTCCAGTCTATCCGTGCCTCATGGCCCATTCATTTCCCCCCTGAATCATCGTGTTATCAGTTTAAAATTCACATGGCGGCTCTCTCCTGACCAGCATCACCGATGCCAACGTACAGCACTCACCTCCTCTCTTTACTTTCTGTTTATCACTGTCTGTAAAAAAAATAAAGGCTGCAAATGTTCAAGAGAAATGAGCAAAATTTAATGCTAATTTGTCATTTTTATGAGCATCATCTGTGACAAAAATGTCAGCAGTTGAAACTGTATGTCCTTTTTGACACAGAAGAGGCAAATTTTCTTTTAAAATGAACTGAACTTCCATTTAACCATATTTTCATTTTCCTGATGGTTGAGGACCCTGTGTTACTGCAGGCGTATAGCCAGTTTACAGAGCTGAAATTGAAGAGACGGGATAATAAACATGGTTTCCAGTATCATTTCCCTCATGAATCTTGTTGCTTTATCAGCATGTGGGTTTTCTACATGACCCCCACTTTCATGCTTCAGCGGTCTCAGTCGCCTACAAGCATGTTATCTAACTTGTTTCTGTATTACCACATGGTGAAATTGTTTTTTGAAACAGCTTATTTAAAAAACTTCTGTATGATATAAAATATGAAAACTGATATTGTGTCATTACCTATTCTCTACACTGCCAAACCAAAACTGCCTCATGGACATTCAGGAAGGCAGAGAAGTCAAAGGAATAGCTGCAGACATACTGTCTGTAATAAAATAATAAGAAAACATGTTCATTATTATATTAGGCTCTGGAATACCTAAATAGATTACTTTTGTTTGCTATAGTTATCAATGATGAGCTCAATATCATGAACAAAGTCTTTGAAGTCTTGTTTTATCGTACACAAAAAAAAACCAACCCATGTAACGTCTTCTGTGTAAAGAAACAAAGGTCAAAAAGAGAAACGAAAGCCTTGCTCATATCACACGTGCCATTGTTTGCCACAGAACCAAGCAGGACAGCGCTGTCCTTTGATTGGTAAATGCCACGTAAAAGTAAATGCTTAATTCAAAATGCAAACTGACATTTAATATTTCTTACATATAAACTTCTGTCAGAATTCTAATGTAGTGCAGATGTTTAGGTTGTTGTCTAAGGTCATTTACTCTTTCATATATCATGCAACAAAACACAAATCAAATGTCATTTTGGTTGCTTTTGATATTTGACTTGTTTCCACTCTTTTTTACTTCCTCAAGCTGTGATCAACTCCTGGGAGTAGAAAAGTCGGAGCAGCTTCTCAGCTGCTCTTATGAATGCATTGTTCTTAATAGAGAAATCAGATGAGCTGTCAGAAATCTTTTGAATTCACACCACTAATTTCTTAATATCCTATTCCTGCTGGCACCCATTGGAAAGGGCTTCCTGTGGTATTCTATATACCATATACTTGCTATTTTCTTTTTCTTTTCTTTTTTGTTCTCTTTGATCCGTGTTGATGGGTAAATTATGCTTTGTCCCATTCAAAGTATTTCTGTGCAGGTATTTCTGAGTTGAGTTGCCTACAAACATCTAGGATTAGAGGGAGGTAGTATACCTCACACAAACACACTTTAAAACAATAAAACTCGGTTATTTTCTGACCAGTATGACTATGAAAATGACTTCCTCATTTTACAGTGTATTTTTTATTGCAATGTTGCATGTAACCATGTTTTTAATTGCATCCATGGCTAAGAGTGGACAAGATTTACTTACTTAATTATTTATTTATCAGCTAAATGCCGCCTCTTACTGACGTTTTCTGTTTTTTGTTTCCCTTTTAAGATACTGGGGGCGGAATCGTGATGGATTCCTTACTGCCAGCAAACCACTGGAGCTTCAATGTTACCAAACATTAAAAAGTGCACACAACGAATCTCTTAAGATGTGCTGACTTTGGAGTCATTTATTCGTGTTACCTCTTGATTCTGCTGGATAGTTTTATTTTATTTTATTTATTTATTTATGTATTGCATTTATTTAATGATGTCTATTTTCACTTCTTCCCGCCCACTCCCCACTCCAATCACTGTGTGTCACTGGTAATCATCAAGTGATTACTTATTTAGTATTTTATTTTTATTATATATATTCCAGATGGAAAACTCTGCTGTGATCGCCTCTTCAGGGCCAACACTTGAGTTAGAAAGGAAAAACATTCAATCACATTCAGTTAAAAGTACCGGTGGGAACGGACCTACATAAAGCTAACCATGTTTAGGAATAAGCCTCCCGGAAGTTAAGCGAATTTCGTTTCATAATAAATCAAATCATGCCAAATTAACTTTTGTATATGGATTTAGAGGGAAAGGTGTAAAATTTATAGCCTAAATAAAATATCCATCATACAGTTGTACTAAGAAAGTATCTGCAATCGAAGCGAATACCAGTTTTACAGGTATCACAACATGTTGCGACATTTGGAAAAAGAAAAATGAGGAAAATTAAACACCTTTGAAATAAATGTATGACACGTTATATCGTCGGCTTTACCTAGACAGCTGAGAGCGTGGGCTCAGCCTGGGTGTCACTGGGTTTTATATTTCTGACCTTTTTTTCTTTTTCTTTTTTTTTGAGAACAGCACGATGGCACGGTGTAGTTAGCAATGCTGCCTCATAACAAGCAGTGGGTTCAAATCCACTGTTCGGTGAAGGCTTTCTGTACGCATTTTGCATGTTCTCCATTTATCTGCGTGACTTTCTCTGGGTTCTCCAGCAACTGGTGATTCTGAATTATCCATAGTTGTGAATATTTTGTGTCTCTCTGTGTTAGCCCTGCACAGACTGGCCTATAGTAGCTGGGATAGGCTACGTTCCCACCGACCATGGTGGGAACTGAATAACTGGTAAGAAATGGATTGATGGACAGTTATTTCCTGGTTTTGTCCAGTATATATATAATATATAATATATTTTGCATTTTTATTCATTTTATCATATCTATCTATCTATCTATCTATCTATCTATCTATCTATCTATCTATCTATCTATCTATCTATCTATCTATCTATCTATCTAGCTAATTAAAGCTGAAATCAAACTTAATATGCAATAGATGTGCGCTGATTTTGTGAAGTCTGCTTAGACACAACATACACAGTCCTACATGATATCTCAAGTAAACCTCTCACATAAGGCAGGAGCATATTTAACTTTTTGGAGTTGTGATATATTAGTGTAGCATTTTGACCTGTTACTTAATAACTTTGATTCATTATAGTTTCCCCGCAGGCCTTTTTTTCTCCAGCATCTTTTTTCCTGCTCATTTTATTCGTGCACCTAATGTTAAATCACCTTCTATTGCCACATTCATTTGTTAAAGTCTAATCATTTTTATTTATATGGGTAAATAAATGTCACCACCGAAATTATTACAATTCTGATAGTGCTTGTGCTTATACAGACTGACTCAGGTATAGAAACACACATACATTGTTCCTGCCGTTCATCATGTGGAGTTGTATTTTGAAACTTGACACCGGAAGTTGGAGTCCTTGTTCTACATCGCTTTCTGTGGAATACAGGAGCGCGGAGCGCCATTAAGAGCGCAGCGTTGAGTACAGCGCACAGCGGACCGCACTGCAAAGAGAGCGACATTTACTTTAAAAAGTGATTTACAGACATCAAGAGTGAAACAAACAAAAAGACCCAGTGCTGCTTAACTGGACTAGAGCTAATTAACTCACAGGTTGTTTTTTCGTTCTTACTTTATAAATCTGCCTCTGGACACTGTAATACATAGTCTGTCTGCTGTGGACCTACCTGCTGTGATGGGCCGGATGAACAGCGGGCAGTGTGGGGGTGCCAAGAGCGCAAGAGGAGGTCTGGAAGCATAGGTAAAAAAAAAGAAAGAAAAGAAAACAAACTGGTTGGAGTTCGCACTGTTTATCTGATTTTCTGGTTTCTGTCATCACAGAAAGTGATGACTGAAAATGCTGGTTGTCACATGCGAGTTTCTCTGTTAAGGGACATTGTTTAAGTGTTATTCATTTATTTTTTTGGAGCCGGCATCATTTTTCTCCGGCATCATTGACTGAAATGTGAAACTCAGCTTTTAGAAGTGTTCTACAAGCTGAGGCTTTAGGTGATTGTTTCCTTTTTGCTTTTAAAGTGTTAGGACTGTTCTTATTGAATGCATTTACACAGTTGCAATCCTTCTTGTCATTCACAAAGTCCTTCTTGTCTTCCACGCCTCTGTGCTCTTGTATGACTGATTCTCAAGGATATGTGAGTGCGCCGGGCACATGAAGGGACTGGCAAACCTTGTTAAATGTGCCTCTTCTTCCGTCAGTTATCATCGGAAGCACAGATAGCCTTTAATATAAATTCGGACCAGTTAATTTGGGCTGTTTTAAAGGGATGGGACATCAGATAACTAAATAATATGAAATGCCAGTGTTAGTTTATCTCGTGTGGTTTGTTAATGTGGAACGAAAGGTCCGTGATCACTTAAATCGGATTGTGGAAAAGTTGAGTTGTGATAAATATCTCTAGCAAAGCCATGAAGTAGACAAGCTCTTCCAGCAAAGCAAGTTTTAGTGTTTTGCATTAACACAAAACTGCAAAGATGTATGTTGTATATGAGACGTATTTATATTTCCTTTTGCTTTACGGAAATGTTATTGCTGTATGTGCCTAAAAAGTTCCAGTTTCCTAACATTTTTCATCTGCAGCTAAGGACCATGTAACATCAACAAGTAATGCGTCTTCTCTTTAACTGTAAATTTATTGTTCTTATGTAATCACTTGATTAAAAAAGAAAAAAGTGACAGTAAAAATCGTCAGACCTTAGCCAATATCTGCCAGGTAATTTACAGCTTTCATCGCAGCTGTCTAATGCAGCTTCAGACAGAGCTCATAGTGCAATATGTCAGTGGAGGCTAAGAGTGCCCCTATACAGATAAACCAGTCAGTGTTGTAGTTCTGTAAGGGTCTAATGTTGAGCTTTTTGTGATCATTTCCTTGACTGTGATATTAAAAAAAGAAGAGCATTACAACTAAATAGAAAACTGTGACTGCAATTTAAATTATATAATGACCTCACAAAACAGTCAAAGCTTTTTATAGCTGTAATAGGATACATTTTAGTATGGTTATGTATTGTAATTGTCTGATCCTATTTAGAAAGAAAATAGAAAGAAAGAAAGAAAGAAAAGAAAATAGTTACATAGATGCTTTTCATGGTTATTGTATTTGATGTATTTTTTATTTGTGTTTGCACCTGAACGCTCTGCACACCGATTGGTTTGCCCTTAGAGAAGCCAACTTGGACTCTTGTCCCGGGGGCATTTTAGATTAGGTTATGACTGGCTACTTTCAGTCACAAGAACACTGTATTCATTTCATCCATCCTTAACACCATATATACTATGCACAGATAGACCTGCTCTGAATTGTAGTCTTCTGAACACAAAATACCCCATCTTTGTTCTGATGCTTGCATCCAATTTCTTAAAAATGGAACCTTTTCTCTCCTCTTGTGTCTTCTTGCCCTCTTATATGTTTTTTTTTTCTTTTCAATAAAAAAGAAATGTCTTGGCTGAGGGCTCGGTGCTTTCACCCAGACATCAGACCACTCTTTTGTAATGGTATGATGGCCAGAGATTTGATTTGCCTGGTCAGGATGGGCCAACTGTATGCAGGGAAGATTTATTAAGGACAGATATTGATTCACAGACACTGATCTACAAACATGAAAGCAGGTGAAGTAAGCTAAGGATATTTATCCATTAACCATTTCCACCTGCGGCAATCATCGATGTTAAAGTCTTAGGGCTTCACTGGCAGAACGTTTTCAATCAATAGTCAAAGACAGAAAGGGTTTGCAACCCAAGACCGGGGAAATCTCATCAGTTGGATTTTACATGGACCCGTTCGAGTCATTTATGATATAAGACAGATTTTATTTAATTTAATAAACCCTTCTGTACTGCTAGAAGGTACAGTTAGGTCCATAAGCATGGCAAACTTTGTGTAATTATGCCTCTGTACAACACAACAGTGGATTTTAATTCAGACAATCAAGATGTGATCGAAGTGCAGTCTTTCAGCTTCAGATCAAAGTTATTGTTTTTTTTAAAAAGCATTGCATTGATAATTTATGTTTGTGGGTATCTACCTTCAGTTTTCTCTTCAATATCTGAAAAGAATGTTGTTTTGGGTTGCGATCAGATGACCAGTTTAGCTATAGATGGTCACCTGATCATCTATCCCATTCCTTTTCTTTGCCTTGAGCAAGTCTGGGTGTGGTTGCTTCCGCAGTATGCTTTGGTTCATTATTCATTTTCACAGCATTTGTCTGAATCAGACCAGAGACTGCAGCTCTGTACATCATCAAAAAACACTAGTTCATTGTTTCCACTGGCAGCATTGGCGTTTGTTAATACATTATGTTCGCTAAACTCTGAAAGGCTGCCCTACAGTCACATCTTAAATGCTTAGTTTAAAATCCACTGCACAGTTGTCCAAATCTTGTCAGTGTATGGACCTCTTCATCTTTCTCAGTGGAAGTCAAGTTAAACATATTTTCGGTGTGTGATATTTAGAGGTCTAGCTCTGAAGTTGTACAAACACACTCTCTTGTACAAAACAACACATCTCAAGGACATTTTTACTATGAAAACAGTGAATGTGACTGTGAGGCTGTGAAATGATTGTTATAAAAACTCTTCACAAACTACACCTATGATACTCAAGTAGTCTCACAATTCTTTCAGATAATGACATATGTTAGGCATTTACTTGAATCTACAAGTCAATTATATTTATGTTTTTTCCATGCTTGGAGATTTCTATGGATTCCTGGACTTTTAACAGGCTTAACATTTGTTCCTCTATTCTTCCTTCTTCTTAAGCTATGCAACCCTGTGCTCTGTTTCTCTTTAGTATGATATCCATACTAAGTGACAGAGACCACTTTACTCCCAAACCCAACTAACTACCCCAAGATATAAAGGCTGTGAAGGTTGTAAACCACAGATGTAAATTGTGCAGTTGTGGTTTGACAGAGTGACTTGTTAGGATTTGCCACTATCACCCCATGTCACAGCATGCCAATTGTGTAGAAAATCAGCGCTTACTCCCTGGAATGTCATATCCTAACCGTCATACCTTGATTGCTTTTTCTGTCTGCGTGGCAGGAACAGTGTGTGGGTGTCAGTGTTGCAACTCAAGTGATTTCATGCTTAGGGACTGCATCCAGTGAGTGATGGCTGATATGATACTTGATATTTTCCCGGGAAGTACTCCAAGAATGAAGCTAGGGCTACATACAAAGCCGATTAAGGTTTTTAGCTATTCTAAACATGCAACTCTGAGTCAGTATCAATGGAGCTAAATAAGACTTAAGGTTCGTTCACATTCAGTATAATCACGCCACCACCTGCACACACTGGCCATGTTACCTGCCCAGACATACATTCAGCTCCTACTTGTGTGATTTTGCTTTCTTTTCAAATCTTATTGGTTCGGGAGGTGTGATCCATATGCATACAGGTGGGACAGTCTGCGTTTTCTTAACAGATTTAGACATGCATCAGTTTACTTTGTGCGGTTGTGGGATGCAGTGTTTTATTGTTAAAATTTGATAAAAAATGATGGAGCGTGAAGCTTGAACTTTTCTTGTTGGACTTACGCTATTATAATTGTACCTAGGCTGAATGCTAACATTTTCATGCTGTCATGAAAGTGTTCACAAGATATTAGTTAGCTTTTGTTGGCTAAATATAAAATACAGCTGAAACTAATAGCTAGGGCAGGGCAATATGGCCAAAAATATTTATCATGAAATGCGATAACGATATTACTGACAATATAATTAATGTGAGACAAAATACTAAATAACTCATTAACTTTATTAGTGCAAAAAAAACCCATCAATGTATTTTCACTTAAACAAGCAGCTGTTTTTTATGTGCATTAAAGTTATATAAAAATTTAACAGTGCAAATGCAAATTCCTTGCTGACAGTTTAACAAAAAGGCATTTCCAGTGGAAATTGGCCGACATATCAAATCAAATCAAATCAAATCACTTTTATTGTCACATCACATGTGCAGGTACATTGGTACAGCACATGTGAGTGAAATTCTTGTGTGCGAGCTTCACAAGCAACAGAGTTGTGCAAAATACAATAATGTAAACAAGCAAAATACAAGAATGGCTACATCTGAAACTAATAAATATATGTACAATATATATATATATATATATATATATCCTGAGCGTAACCATGCATAATACCCACAAAACGTAAAAATTGGTTATATACACACAATGCGGTAATATTATGTTAAAGCACAGTACGTATCACTCCGCGAGGCTCCTGACTACGGTAGCCGTAATGCTCCGACAATCCATCAAGCGGTGCGGCTTCGTAGCTTACCAAAGTCGTACTAAAACATTTTTTGAGCGATTTTTTTAGCGCCGCGTACCACATAAAATTGGTTCGGTAATAATGACGGCCCGCTTGCATGCTCTACCAAAAAATGTGCTTTGGTGTGCATCTGCCGGACGAAAGCCAAACCAGTTCCACACCACTGAAGTTACATCATGTTTACAAACCAATTGTAAACATGGTTCATCTGTTTCATTCAACGATACGCTTTCGCCCTTCTCATTCTCTGTCGCTGCCGTGCTTTTTCCGCCATGTGCGTATGAACACAAAGGCACTGCGCTATCACGATATCTCATTTTCTCATTTTTTCTCATTTTCATTGCCTAACATTATACCGGTATTACCGTGAACGGTATGATATGGCCCAGCCGTACTAATAGCAATTGCTTTTTATGACCATGCTTTATTTGCCATTATACTAAGATTTTGAATTGAATATGG